CACAACTCTTAGAATGAATATTCGGTCATGACAGGTGTGGAAAGTCTAAGTACCCCAGCAGTCTCCGATCATGTAGACATCAATCACGCTAACGAACAAGGTCAAATTTGTTACCAATCGATGAGTTCTATTGATCTGTATCTAGCACAAGTCTTAGAGAGAATATTCACGAAAAAACTCGAATCTGCTGCTAACTTTACCTACATTATATAGAAATATTAGATGATAACGTTTAATATTCATTTACTTCATCGTCTGTGAAAGCAATTGTTAAAATATGTTCGTGGCTGCATTACGAGCTAGTTAGCTTCGTTTGAAATTTCTCTTGTAAGTAAAATTTAATAATTGCATTTTTTTTTATTATGTAAAATATTCTGTATGCTTTATTTATTATATTTCTGATAGTTTTTCTTAGTCGAAATAGTTGTTTTAAATAAGTATGTAAATTATTCTGCTTTGAAGAAGTATTTTTTAGTAGGTTTTTTATGATGTTTCTATGGTTCACAATCTTTCTTATATAATGACGAGGTTTAATTTCGACTAGTGCCATTTTGCAACATGACAATAATTTACCACATACATTATATCTTGTTTCTTCTATTACTAATGGTTGAAAATATGAATTGTGCTCGTCATTCATCTTATTCTCCAGATCTGGTTTCCAGTAGTTATTTCCACTATTAAAAGATTAACTCAAAGGAACACACTACAATGATCGAAGTTCATTATGTGCAAAATTACATAAATGTCTAAATCCTCTGTCTAAAGATGACTTCATAGCAGCTATACACAAGCTTTGAGAGCGTTGACAAAAGTGTATTGCGGCAGAGAAATGATATCTCGAAAAAAGAAAATATATATATATTTGTAATTATAACTGACTTACTTTTTTTTTAAATAAAATCAGTCTAGAAACTTTTTCAACGTTCTACGTACACGTTACTCAGAAAAGCAAAGTGTATTACGTTCAGTTCGAATGTGGAACTTTAAAAAATTGTATATAATAATAAATTCAACATTATACTTAGGGCATACCAAAAGTAGTGGCGCCTATCCTGCAATATTTTACAGAAGCCTTTAGGAAATCTTTTCTCCCTACATTCTGATAGCCCAAATCAAGCTCTATAATTCTATGATATTTCATAAATCTTCAAACAATATTATATAAGCAAAAGTTTTAATACTGTTAAGTTTTTTGCAGCTTTTATAAATTTTCACCTAGAAAATATACAAAAACTAACTACACACACAGAAAAAACAAACAGAGCACGTGTGCTTCACACGTATAAATGAAGATAAATATCAAAGAAGTTAAAAAGACTGAGAAAAGCAAGAGAAGAGAGGAGAAAGTTAAAAGGAAAAAAAGAAAAGGATAGAAATATTACGCTGAAAACAATATAGCATATTGTTTCTAACATAGACCATAATACGATCAAAACTATTCACTTCTTTTCAAATTGATAAGGAATATTTTCGTTTCTATATTAAAGTGCGTACTGCACTTCATATTAAACCAATAATTATTCATAATGAATTACATACTATCTTCGGTGATGAAGCTCCTCCTCTCAGGACTGTTCAAAGATGATCAAAATGGCTTCATGACGGTCGAGAAGTAGTTGAAGACGAAGAAAGTCCTGGCAGATCTATAACGGAGACAACATCTGAAAATATTAGACAAATTCGTGATCTTATTAATGATGATCCTTATGTTACAGTTGACGAATTCGAAGCACAAAGTGGTCTAACCCATGGTACCGTTCAACGAATTATTTTCGATCATTTGTAGTTGAAAAAAGTTACTGCACGTTACGTTTCCAAACATCAGACGAACTTTCGAAAGGCTGAACAAGTACGAATATGTCAAGAAAACTTGTTAAAATTTGAACAAGGTGTTTGGAGATTATGCGATGTAGTAACAGGTGATGCATCATGGTTTTATCACAAGCAAATCGGTTGAAAATCATCGAATGCTGCTTGGGTAGCACGTGGAGATCCTCCTCCAACGGTGGTTCGACGTAGTCATTTTGCTCCAAAAACTCTCCTGTGTATTTTTTTCAAGTCAACTGGTCCAGTTTTGATTCATTCTGTAAAACGTGGACAAACAATCAATCATCAATATTACATCGATAATTGTTTGCGACCAGTTATTGATGAAATTAGGAAGCAACCACCTTCCTTAGGCATTCAATCAATTAAACATCATCATGATAATGGAAGACCACATATGCATGAAGATGTAGTCAATTATCTTCAATCAGAAGGCGTAAAAATAATGCAACATCCACCTAATTCTCCAGATCTGGCTCCATACGATTTTTGGTTGTTTGATTTAATCAAACAAAATCTAGACGATCAAGATGATTCAGAATCGTTGCATGAAGCTGTGATCAAATTTATGAATTCATTGAGAAAAGAAGAGTATAAAAAAACTTTTGTTAAGTGGATCCAACGAATGCATTTGTGTATAAACAATCGGGGTGGTTATTTTGAACATTTGATGTAATCAAAACATGATTAACGTGGTTCAAAAAAAAATTTTTTTTTGTCAATCACTCATTGTCTTTGCTTCGTGTCCAATATTATATGTTGTTTGAAGATTTAACAAATATTGTAGAATTATTGAGCTTGACTTGGGCTATCAGAATATTTAGAGAAAAAAAATTTCTTAAAGGCTTCTGTAAAATATTACAGGATCGGCGCCACTACTTTTGGTATGCCCTAAGTATTTTGATGATAGTACCAGCATCAACTAAACTTAAACTTTAATTTATGTCTGTTATTTAAAACTGTGTTTGTTTTCTTCTTTCATTTTCTTGAAAACAAGTTCGATGATGAAACTGTATGTGCATTGACCGCTTATTCGTTTGTTAATCATCAATTCATATTTCTCATTGAAGAAGAAATACAAAAATTATTTTCTAGTTTTTAGATGGTTAAAGATTTGCTTGTTGTACACTTTGATATACTTTACTTATATATGAAAAGTTAGAGGAAAAGCTAAACGAGGTTTCATATAGTTAATTTCATATTTTTCTAATGATTTTCACTGTATATCATTATATATGAATTAGCCCATCGCTAAATTTTGAATCGTTAGGTTAGGAAATAACTCTCACCAATGTATTGTTCTGACTATCATTATAACCCTCACAATATCACTTCAATTTCATTTATTCAGAGTATCATTTTAATTCTCAAAGACGAGTAATTCTGCCGAAAAGAACTTTTTTTCATACGACTGTTGTTTTCATATAAAAATTCATCTGTTTATATAAAAGAAACTACATAGAATTAGATTAGGGGGTCATGGAAATATCGCATAGATGATGAAGAACAGCAGAAGAAAGGGATTAGAATAGAAAGAAACGTTGATTTTTGATGAAGATTTTCTCCAAATATTGACACACAAGCCACAGAGCAAAGTACAACGATTTACGAAGCAAAAATTTGATTTCGTCTTCGACTCTGTACATCAGCATCTAACTTCTTTCTCGCTGACGTTTCTTGCTTTAATTTACTTTAAATAAATATTCAAATATACGGACTCACTCTATTTTAGCTTTGCCGTTTTCCATATATCATGAAATAAGCATGAATCTCTTCCAATGAACGATAATATTCAGCTAGGTCTAGAGAGTACCATTTATATTTAAGATAAAGGAAACAATGAACAAGAAAATTTATATCACTTCAATCAATAACCTTATAGTAACATCGATTGTTTTGCATCATCTCATTAATAACCAATCTACGAAGCAACTCAGCAAAAAGAATAACTTTTTGTATTGAATTCATTCTCGTAAATTCCATTATATTTTACCATAGGGATAAACTTTGATTGAAGAAATAGCTGATCTAATCTCAAACCATTTAATCGACTTCATTGAGTGTGAACGAAATTTCCGAAAGTTTTCACATGATACAATGGCAGCAAGAAGTCAAAATCTCGTTTATTTGGCTCAAATCCCCATTTTTCGTCAAATGTGCCTCCCGTCTCTCCTCAGAAATAGCATCGTCCAATAAAGAATCAAATTCTACATTCAATTCAACTAATCAGAGACGAAGACAAGCCTAGAAGCGAATGTCAATAATAAATGTTCGAATTTACTGTTAACTTTCTTTACGTAAAGACCAAAGTTTTTTTTTTGTTTTGAAATGATTGATATCATTCGTATGAATAAAGGATTAAATGAAGTCAAATATTCTTTTTTTTCGAAAACAATATTATTATTTTGAGAAAATAATTATTGGATATTGGTGATTTTAAATCTTCGAAAACAGTTTTTAAGTGCTAATTCACTATTGGTTAGTTGTTTTATATTCAAATAAATCTCTTGTATATAGACGAAATTAAATGAGCCATTCTTAAGAACTAACTTTTAACTATGTAATGATGACAAAAACTATATTTTCGCTCACATGTCAATATTTTTTGCGAATATTTAGTTTTCATTAATCTCTTCAATTGACATATAATCTATTTTCATTTGAAATGAAACTTATTTATTTGATAAAAATTTAATTTTAAGAAAAAGCTTAAGTCTATTGTTTTTTTTCGTATCCTTGAAAGAGAAAAATAATCGAATGGTTTTTTTTTTCAGCGAATTGCCTTATCAACAGATATTAAGGACAATATTCCGTATATAAAGGATCTTTTTTTTTTGATATTAAAACACACATACATACACAATTTTTGTTAGAACAACATAGACATGTTGATCTTCCCTATCACGATCGTGCTCATTACTTTTGCATCCATTATTAACGGACAAACGTTAAAAAATATGGAAAATAATAAAATATGTACTGAATGGCAATATTATACTGGCGCATCAGCTAATGTTGATACATCACTATGTTCAGGTAATCTTGGTTATGAATTTAGTAATTCTATCGGATTTCTTATAATTCGTTTCTGTTGCCCCTATGGTCGAGTGACTACAACCACTGTTGGACCTACAACCACTGTTGGACCTACAACCACTGTTGGATCTGCATCAACTGGATGTGGTCGTGCAGCAGTTACTCCAGTGCGTACACGAATTGTCGGTGGACAAGACGCAGTACCACACTCCTGGCCTTGGCTTGTTTCTCTTCAACGTTATGGAAGTCATTTTTGTGGTGGCACTTTAATTGTAAATAATAACATATTATGAAAAATCCAACATATAATATCATATTTTAGGATAATCGACATGTTTTAACTGCTGCTCATTGTCTTCAAGATAGATCAATGTTTAATTCAGGATTAACTGTTGTAGCTGGTCTTCATACACGAAGTCGGTCAAATGAACCACAAGTTCAACGTAAACAAGTTGCAAACATAGTGAATCATCCAGAATATAATGACGCTACAAATGAAAATGATATTGCTATTATTCGTTTAGCTTCACCTGTTCAACTCAATAGTTATGTCAATATTGCTTGCCTTCCAGGAAAAGATCCTGTTTTAAACAACAATGTTATGATTGGTATGTAAATTAATCCAATTTAAAAAAATGTTTAGTTTTTTTTTTTTATTGAAATCAAATTATTTAGCTGGTTGGGGTACAACATCTTTTGGAGGTAGTTCACCAGATAAACTTCGTCAAGCTAATATTATTATCATGGATTTATGCAAACAAGTCTACCGTTATGACAATAACAAACAATTATGTGCCGGTAATCATCAATATTCAAAAGATTCATGCCAAGGTGATTCTGGTGGTCCACTTATGTACGAAGTTGATGGTAAATGGGTAGTCAGTGGTGTTGTTAGCTATGGTGATGAATGTGCTAAAATATATCGTCCTGGTGTTTATGCTCGTGTTAGCTATTATCTACCATGGATTGAGAGTACCATTGCTCGTTTATCAGCACAATAAATGATTGATAATGTCACATAAAACACATATTTTACTAAAAATAAAATCTTTATCAGTTAATTGTGCATGACTCTATGTTGTTCAAAAATATTTGCTTTTTATTGATTACAGATGCTAAGATTAATTTTTTTTTCTTAAGTCATCATTTAGATATTATCAGATTTAAAGAGATACAAATCTTTAAAAACAAAATATTTTGATGATATGCTTTCAATACATTCTATATCAAAAGATTACTAAACTAACTAACCAGCTGACATATAAAACCATTTTTTTGTTAATGTGAACCCTCTGTTGATTCATTTAATTTATTCTTCGTTTCAATCGATAGCTTTTCTTGAGCTCTATTCGACGCAATTAAGTACGATTCTAAAAAAATGCCTGTATGCAACAGTTGATCATGATCAAGATTTGTCGAACCGACATATTGATGAAAAAACATAATAAAGTTTTTTCTATATTTTTCGTTTATCGAATTTTAGTAACAGACAAGTACTTTATATGGTGGAGATTATCCGTGTTTAACTCTCTTTCGATAGAAGAAATTTTCCAACTCTTGATTCTTATGTTATTCACCTAGGTACTGATCAAATTACACTAAATACAAATAGGTTTGTATAACGTTGGCACCATACAGATCGATAATGTTGAGACTTCTCGACAGTAAACTTGTCTTCTGTTTAGAAGTATTTATGGGTCAAAAACAGGAAATTTACGTTCCGTTTATGGACATTATACCAACACATCTGGTAATCGTAAAGTACTATTAAGCGGTCTGTATACGATTCGGATACATTCCTCTCATACTACAGATCAAATATTGACAGTAAAACTGCATCCACTCATACGATAGGTTATGCTTCGTTTACAAACCGTAAATGGCATCTGTTTTGATCAACCTGAGTAATAATAAGCTGTTTCAAGAAAAGACTAGTTGCTTAATGAATGTCTTAAACGGACCGACTTTTTACCGGTTGAATTTTGTAACTGAACCGGCCAGTTTTTCGCTGGCTCGATGAATAATTTCAACCAGTCGGTTACTGACTAGCCCGATCCGATTGAAGAAATTTCATGAGCTCCAAGTCTGATGTAGAGTAACATCATATTAGAAAATCAATAATATCTGTTTTAAAACTATTATACAATGGAGAATAATAGAACTTTAGCTCTTTATATTCTTGTGTTTTTATTATCATACTTTGTTTATTTTGAACCATATTACATACAGTGAGATAGTACAAAATTCAGCACATTGTATGGTTTATTTGCTTTGAATAATGAATAAAGTTAAAAAGCATAAAAACTGTATTTGAAAAAAACATTGACGTTTTCTTTCGTCAGTCTACGGTTGAAAACTCGTTCATAATAAACAAAATTTATATTTTTATCATAAGAACCAATCATAATGTTCCTAAACTCTGTATATGTTATACAACAGTTTATTGTCTATACTACTAATTTCTTGTGTTCATAATGAATGCAACATTGATAATTATAGTAAAGAGAAGTCTGTTATTGCTTATCGATTAGAGCCTTGTGCAGTCAAATTTTTTCGACTCCGACTCCAAAATTTTTTTTTCCCATAAATTAGCTACACCTTATGAGTACGGCGATATTATTTAATTTAAGGTCATGTGAAGATGATGAAAATACATCTAATGATGCAAGTGAAGATATTGAATCGTGCTGATCTTTTTTCGAAATAATTACTTGTGAAAGTTAATCAAGTATAGATGCTTTCTTTTATTTTATTTTCTACTTCTCTCTTTCATATTATTTGACTATTGGATTGATATTTTTCGTTTACTGAACGTTACAATCGTCAAAAATGCATGTCATATAAGAAAAAAATGAAATAGGATATTTAGAGTTTCTGTAGTATACATCAACTCCGATCTACATATCGATCTGAGACGAAATATGTTTTAAAAAAAATCTTATCAATTTACTCTTTATTCAGATGCAATTTATATACGTGCAAGTATGGAAATCATTGAAATGTCGATAACTAAACAAACGAAAGAAACATTCTCAAGATTGACGAGAAAAGAAAATGTTTTTTATGTACATTAATACAGGTAACAAGCAAACATGAAACAATTTGAATTAAAATTTTTTTTTCGAAGTTTTCATAGACAAAACAATCTGAGAGACGTGATGGAGGAAGAAAAGTGAAGAGATGTATGAGAAATTTTCTAGACGGTATAATAGTAGCCATACAAAATTTTTAAAGTGTAGGAGAAATACAGAAACTTTTTTCTCATTCTATAGCTTTGTTTTCGATAAAAAAAACTGGAGAAGGAGCGTACATCCGACAGTCATCACTTTCTTTTATTATTTCAGTTATGACAGAGCTCTACATAAATATCACCTGTAAACTAAAAATACACTTTCACTTTTTTTTCTTTATATAATTTTTTAATTTTACTCTTTGTTCAAAGCGAAAATACTCTAAGATGCAATGTATTTCGTACTTTCTCGATATATGTATATATATATATATAATACGTTGAAAAAAAATACACGAAGTATGATAATAAAAACACAAAAACAAAATGGTGGAGAAAAATTTAATTGCTCTTTTCTGTGGTAGAAATCAAACACATTCAACTGAATCGGCAAACAAAAACAAAAACCTAGGAAACGTCAATTTATAATAAAAGAAAACAAAGTTTGTTTTTTTTTATTCGAATAATTTACAAAATTCATCAAATGAAATTTTTTCATCACCAGTTGTATCTAATGATTTCATCATTGCTTTAATATCATTTGGTTTTAAATTGTTATTTAGACGTAATAAAACTGTTTGAAGTTCATCAAATGTTAAATAACCATTTCCATCTGTATCAAATTTTTTAAATGCATCTAATAATTCATGTCTAGAATATTTTTTAAAAAATGATGGAGCGATAGCATTTTGAAATTCCTCAAAATCGATGTCACCACTATTATTCTTATCCATTTGTTTCATTAAGTTTTCTGTTTCTTTATCACTTGCTTTTATATTCAATGCTTTTAAGACTCCTTGTAATTCTTTTGCAGAAATTGTTCCCGAATGATCTAAAATTTGAAAAAAAAACAAGTTCATTTCTGATTGTTGTTTTCTTCTTATCTTACATACTCTTATCAAAAAGATCGAAAGCATCACGTAATTCACGTTTCTGACTTGGTGTAAGTTTATCCATAATTGAAGTTCTGAAACAGTTCTTTTTTTTCAAATAAATTCAATATTGTTTCGTCTTTTAAATTCTCTCTTTTTTTTTGTTCTTTGTTTGTTGACAGCATTTTTTCGACATAAAAAGAGAAAAATTTCGACCTTCGCAATGGTTATTTCCTTCGCTAAAAGAAAATATTAAAAAAAAAAAACGAATACTTATTATTATAAAATGAAAATAAAAGCAATTAAAATCATCATAACATATTTCTTTTCTTTACTCTTGGATTTTTACTTTTAAGCTTATTAAAATTTCTATAACACTTGATTAAGAAGGATTTTTCAAAATACCAAATTTCAATGTTCTATTTATCGAAAATGAGCAATGAAGGATGTAAATGATGGTTAAAACAACAAAAAAAAAATCATATATGAATGTTAATTAAAGATCTTCATCATTATATTATGAATTTCTAATAAAAGATTATTCATTAGTTTTTATAGTCAAATATTTATCAATATGATTAATAGAAACAAGTGATTCATGAAAAAGAAAATATTCTCTATGAATAATATCACACCAATAGGAATATGACACAAATAAAATGACCAATAATTGACTTAAAAAAATAATTATCAAACATTAAACGATTTTATTGCCTTTCTTTTTTTTTCTTGATAGTAGTGCATACGATCTTTGATAAGTGCGACGAATCATCTATAATATGTCTCGTCTATAACTGTTTCTTAATGATAAATAAATGAATATAAATTGCTCAATCAAGCAAGAATATAAATTTTTTTTCTCATTCATCATCATTTTAGTTTTTTTTTTCAACAAGCATAACAAAATGGGATAGACATTTTTGAACATTCAATTGCTATTCTTTTAAACTAGACATACGAATAAACTTGTGATGTAATACAGAAATATATAAAGATATAAATTACCAATTGTTATTCTATTTGAATTATGACAAATTATTCTAAAATAAAAATATAGGTCTATCCGTCGGTTTTTTTTTAATTTCAATATGCACATTCGATTCAGCATTTTTTTGTTATGTCATACGAATATCCTAGGATAGAACAGAAAAAGATAGAAACCAAATGTATAGATATATATTATACAAAAACTACATGTGTTCCTGTTGAAGATCATTATATTCGATAGTAATGTTATTCTTTTAGGATGGCTTACTAGAATGAAGCTATTTTTCGTGCAAATTTGTAATTTTGTAGTTGTAATTTAATTACGAAAGATTTTTATTTGAAAAATAAAAAAAATGAATATTTGTTTTACTCGACCTAGTCTTCACTATGAGAAATTTTTTTTTATTTTTATAATAAAAAACAACAAAATAAATCATTCGATTTCGTAGAAACAAATAGGGCCATACACTAAAGATCTTTCACTGTTGTTGTTTTCGCACTATCTCGTGCTTTTGAAATACTTCGTTGTAATTCTAAATGTTCAAGTCTTTTTTTAGCATTTCGTTCTCGAAATAAATCTGTTACAGAAACAGGTTGAGCACCTATTAAAAAAAAAACAAAATCATAAATCAATTCTACTAAAACAACGATAACAACAACCAACCTTCTTGTTCTTTTTTTCTTTCAAATAATGTATTATATGTAATAATAATTGAAACAAATAAAACTGATGCCATAATAATAGCATAACGTTGTGGCATTTTCTCAGGATCAGCTAAAAAAGTTCGTCGTAATTGTCGACGTAAATTTTCATTGATTTGTTTAAAAATTTGAAATACCATATCTAAAATAATTAATAAACGAAACAAAATTCTAACTTTATGTTTTGTTTTCAATCAAAATCAATTATTGTTATTGTTCATATGCAATTCAAATCTAATATAATTTAAAGAAATCAAATTCTTATAATTCCGTATTATTTCTTTGTTGGTTTTTTCACACACGCATTATGGATTTTTATGTTTTGTGTTTTAACAGAAAAATGCCTTAGCTAACGCGCAAAAGAAAAAAATCGCATATGAAGAAGAAAAAGAGAAAAAAACCGACTATAAACAAACAAACACACATAAACAGTCCTAGAGAAAAAAAAAAGAATTTGAATAATAACGAAGAAAAACAGAAAAACCAAAATAGGACGCTTTTCATTATTATCATCATCATTATTGTTTCATATATATATATACACATGTAAATTGTGAGTAAAGAATAAATGTTATGTCGACGGAGTATATAATGGATTGTTTTCTTTTAAGAGCACAAACGAGGAAAAAAAATAAAAAAAAAAACAAAAAAAAAGAACTCCGTGAACGATTGTTTTATATAGACAAATATAAATAAATAGAATTAGAAGCGAAAAAAAAAAGAAACAATAACACAAACAGAAATAAAGAGATTTTATTCGTACAAGCTCAAAATTAGAATTTATAGAATCGTAGGAAAATGCCATTTATTTTCTATTATATTGAGATCGAAGAAGTTAAGAAAGACATGACGATCAAGTCATGGGTGAACGTTCTAATGAACCTTCGCGACTATTATTGTCTTTTTGTCGACTGTTTATATTATCCACTTTGTAACGACGACGCCTAAAACAAAAAAATAAACAATTTTGTAGACATAATTTGTTTATTTATTCGCGAGGAAACCTTCACAATTTAAAAATCGATTTTGAGCTCGGATTCTATGAATAAGGTAAACCTGAGAAATGTATAGAGTAGAGCCCATCGGGTCCGGAACCAACCCGATGGACTCTAGTTGTCGTACTATTCCACCTGCGCATAGTGATTTTTGATCTAGTGAAATTTCAGCAAAGTTTCATTACACATCCTCTATAAGATATTAACGAAAGATGGTTCTCAAATGATAAAATGCTTTTAAGTTGGAACTATATTCAATCGATAAGGTCTAGAGAGTAAGTAATTACTTTAGAGTGATTTGAGCTGCTGAGTCTTAGTTGCTGAAATATCGAATTTTTTCTGTGGGACCTTAGTTTTCAAGCGAATTGTATACTTTTGAATTTCTGATCTGAAATTTAGTCTATATAACGGCACAGATTAAACTCACTTAACTAAATCTCTCCGATATATATATGAATTTTTTAAAATCTAAGCGCTTTGCCACGATTAATTGTAAAGAACAAAATATGAATATTTTGGAAGATTTATATCTTGGAGATACTTGATCAAAAAAATCTGAAATTTGTTCTACATACTAGTCTAATTGATGCCTTTACGTACGCAAAATTTCAGATCAAAATTTAAAAGTGTGATTTTGCTTGAAAACTTGAACTCTACAGAAAAAATTCACTAAACATTCGAAATCTCAACAACAAAGGTTTAGTAGCTCGAATCAGTTCAAGGGTATTTACCCACTCACTAGACTCTATCGATTGAATATAGTCTCTGCTCGAAAGTAATGTATCATTTGAGGAACTTTCCTCGTATGAGCAAAAACATTAATAAGACACACCGGTTCTATCTTTGATAGACCTTAATGAAGTATTAAAAATCCAAAAAGGATAAGGAACTCTAGATGTTCTCTACAAAGTTATAGCCTTTAATATGAAATTGAACGAAAATTTTAGTTGAAAAGAACGTTCCTTTCCCGAACTATTAAATTCCAAAAAATTACTCATGTTCTACAAAAGATTCGAGAATCTCATATTTTTTCAAATTCGAATTCAAAAGAAATTTTCAATTTAGAAAGAGTCTCGTGTCAACAGTTAATCTATGTTATATTATTGTTAAGAAAGATATTTTTATTTCTTCATTTTGAAGACTTAATTGCAAGATAAGTTTATTGCATATGTAAAAGATCAATAGAAGATAGAGAAATATGTTGAAAGAAATGCATAAAAAGACATTAAATTATCTCCTAATTGTCTGATCATGTATCATGTCTACAAAAAAAAAAATTTTTTTTGATGAAAGACCATAGATGACATTGACAAAAAAACCGCATATTTATCTCAAAAAGTAACAGATAATAAGAATACGCGTTTTTACTATAATTTATCTCTAAAGATTTTATCTTTATTGATATGAAATCTTATTCAAAAAACTATTCGTCTTAAAATGATGATGATGATGATGATGATATTCTAGAAAGATATGTCAAGAAAATATTCTCTTCTATGTAATCTACAAACATTCCGAGATGGAATCATTTAATCAAAAATTTCAACAAAAAGAATTTTTTTTCCTCTAAATATTCTCAACTTTTGTTCTTGTATGAATTTTATAATCTAGATTAACACAAAAATTCAAATCGATCAATCAAAAACACATTCATTAATCTATTTATTTTTTTTCTTTGAATAAATTTTATTCGAAAATTATAATATACCTTGCATGCTGACTGGGTATGCCAGGCGGTGGTTTAGGTAAATGACTAACAGTTGATGAACTAGATACATCATCAAGTAATAGATTATTACTTGATGATGAATGTTGTAAAGATTGTTGACGACGTTGAAAATCTGTAAGTCCACTTAAATGATTATGTTGTTCAATACTTGTGTGGCTTGATGCATTTCCAAGCATACTACCAACAATTGATGTTGGATTATTTGTACCATTATTATTTTGATAATAAAATGATGAATAATAAGGATAAAGATTATTATTATTATTATTATTATTATTATTGTTATTATTGTTATTATTATTATTATTTGTTGATGTTGTTATTGTGGACGGATTTGTATTTTGACTTGATCGATTTGTTGATGATTGTTGTTGATAATATACATGATGTGTATTTGTTGTTGAAGCTGGTGGTGCATCAAATAAGTCTTTATAAGATTTACTACGTTGCATATGATCATTTAAATTAGTTGTTGTCGTTGTTGATTGTTTATTAAGTTGTGTAGTTGAAGCAAGATTTGGTCTTGATGTTAATTGTTGTGTTGGTCGATTCATAAGATTATTTAATGTTTTATTTGTGGACGGAATAAATGATGATTGTTGAATTGATGAACGACGAGAAGAATTTGTTGATTGATAATAACCATTATTATTATTATTAGTATTATTATTATTCGATGATGATGATGAATTTTTTTCATAAAACATTAATTTTCTATAAAAATCATCACCACGATGATTTTCAAATGTTGATGTTGATGTTGATATACGATTACCATTTGAAAAACGTTGTTGATCATTTTTAGATTCATCAATATTTTCACTAGGTATTTGTTCATCTTCATTATGAACTAAATATACAAAAAAACAAAATAATTAAATTTATTTATTTTGTTTATTCATCGAATAATAAAATTAATAATTATTTCTTAAGTAAAAAAAAAACCAAAACAAAACATTGATGATGATGAAATGGAAATGTGCAATGTTAGTTTAATTATGATAATACATGCAGCAAACCATGAACAAATAAATGCATGCTTGGTCGTTATTATTATTATTATTAATTTTTTTTTTGTTCTTACTTGAACTTTGTACTGGTGATGGTTGAATATATTTTTGAAGATAGTTTTTTTTAAAAATTGATGTTGGTGAATCATTTTGTGTTGAAGTTTGTATTAAAGATGTATTTGATGGTGTACAATATTTAACAAGACTATCGTTAGCAAATGAACGATTTAATTGTTCAGTTGATTTAGCTATTAAACGTGAACCATTAAATGGTGCTGGAACAAAATTAAATCCACGTGATTTTATATGTTGCTGTTGCTGTTGTTGTTGTTGTTGTTGTTGTTCATCGACGGGTAATGAAGATGAAGAACTAGATGAATTCGATGATGTAGGTCGAACAGATGATGATCCAATAGCAGTTCGTTGTTCATAAGTTGATATGTTATTTTTTGTTGGTTGTGATTGATATTGAGTACCTCCTAAATTTCCTCCTGTCCCTGAATTTCCATTTCCTTTCATCATCATCAATATTGTTGAAGTATTCGGGCTTGATCGCACCGAAGTATCAATAAATGTAGATGAAGGTATATTTCTAGAAAAATTATCACCCATTATAGTTGATTGCATACTTGATTGAGAATGCATTTGTGCATTATCTTTTCGTTTTATTTGTTGTTGTTGTTGTTGTTCTTGTCGTTGTTGTTCATCGTCATTTTCTTCATGTTCATCTTCATTTTCGTCTTGTTCATATTCATCATCTGACAATCGATTAGCACCGGCATAAGGATTATTATTAATTCGATTTGATATTTTATTATGTTGACGACGAAAGTATAGATTTTTTTTATCGTCATTTAATGCTGTTGTTGTTGTTGTTGTTGTTGGACGTGATATCGATGTTATATTTGTTGTTGTTCGATAATTTTCAAAAGGAAGAGTTTCTGTTAATGGTTGTTCATTTGAACGAATAATGGATTCTTTTTCTATAGATAAATTATAAAATTTTCATTATAACGGATGGATAGAAGTTAGGTTTTTTCCGGAGATGCATCGATTCCTCGACTCTCACACTGGATAAAACTCTGTTGATTACAAGTCTGAACCAGTATATTGTGTACTTTCCGAATATAATTTTATCTCAGTTTTTTTTCGAAAGTAGTGAAGAAATTTTTCAAAAAACTCAAAAAAGAACAAATAGATTTTTGCTATCTTCGATAAATTCCTTTTCGAAGATACTAAAAATTATTGTAGTCAGTCAATTTGTCGTCGTGTAATAGTGAGAGTATAAAAATATACAGAAAAAAACTATTGATCAAGAAAATTTCTAAGCCTACATTCGTCAAGAACACAAGATTCTAGTCATAACTTATAGCTTTTGATTTCTCGGAAATACTTTCAATGAAATA